TGCACTCTTTTGAGGGGGAGGGGCAGAGGAAGAGAGAATCTCAAGCAGGCTCCACACCTGATGAGGGGCTCGATCTCATCACCTTGAGATCATGACCTGAGCTGAGATCAAGAGTTGGATGCTCGACTGACTGAGCCACCCTGACACTGTGTCAGACACACCCTTACTTGTCCCAACGATCCCAGGAAGTGGGTATCATCAAGCCTGATCTACAGATAAGCAGGTTTGCAGTGCACAAGTCCCTGCTTCCAACCCCACACAGCCAGCTGGCCCTCCCCCAGCTTCCCAGAGGGGCAAACATCTTAAGACATCTAACATCTGAAAGGTCACCAGACCCTACATCCGGTATGTCCTATTCCTATAGCGGGAATGGCCATGGTTGCAGGGTCTCCTGGTCTGTTTCTATCTCCTCCCAAAAGTAGCAATGACCTGAGGCTACTCAGGGAAGGGGTTTAACTTTCTGTTCTGATATGGGCTACCTGTGCAACCTCGGACAAGTTACCTAACCCTTTATAGTTTACAAGTAGCCTTTTCCCTTTTTTTCCCCATTTATCCTCTCATTTGATAGCTCCAATGATCCAACTGAACAGTGCATGTAAGTTCTCTCCATTGCCTACAGGATCAAGCCCAAGATTCTTGGTAAGGCATTTAAAACTCTCCAGATCTAGCCCCTGCCTCCTTCTCCACTGTCCCCCACCTTAGATTGAAGCTCCTGCTCGTATTCTCAGCATGATGGCTGGCACTCGACAGACTCTCAGGCATGTGAGGCCATGCTGTGCTTTCCTCCTTCATCCCTGCCTGGCTCGCCCTTCCTTTACCTCTTACCCCATCGCATTTTTACTCTTTTTCAAGCAGTCCAAGGGCACGTTCTCCACAATGGTTCCCATGTTTAATCATCCAATAAGTATTTACTGGTCACCTGCACATGCCAGGAACCATATAAGACAGATGCTGGGAAGCAGTCTGAGTGAGATGTTCTCCTGCAACCAGTACCCATGTTTACAGCAGCACGTAGCTCACGGGACTAGAATTGCCAAGCCAGTTCAACCATCAATCTGCCCACTGGACCTTAGAGCAGAGCAGAGCTTATTTACATCTGTGCTTTCCACAGTGACTGTGCGATTAATATGTGTTAAATCAAGCCCTACAAGATATTTATGCATTTTTCTTGTATTTCACTCTATCTGGTTAACCTTGATATTATATAGCGATTTCCCAGTGTTTGCATTCTTATGCGGACATATCTAAAATAAAATAGAATATGCTTACTAAAAATAATTACAGGCAATTCACCCTTCAGGAGCTTGTACATTCTACAATTCCTGATCCAGTCTTTTTTAAAAGGTGCCCCCTCTACCCCAAGACTCCCCTCCCCCCACTGCCCTTAACTTCCTCACCTGCCAAAAAAAAATTGCAAGTTGAGAGCAAAACACACTGTGCAGATACTTACCCTTCTTTTTCATTAAGTATCAAACAACTTCCAATACACCTTTACTGCACGAGGCTTAAACGGCCCTTTAACTGAGCTGCCAGCGTGTGTTATCTTTTCTTATTGAAATTTAGAACAAGCAAACACTGCTGAACATGAGCTGTTTCCTGTAAGCCAACTTTGCAGATCACTAAAACCCTCTTGAAATGCCAATTTCCTTAACAACTTCCTCCTCAATTGTAGACAGGTCTCAAGCAGATTCAACATGACCCATACCATCCTCAACGTCTCAGGCACTCATGAATGCCACATATCACACTGAACCTAACACAGGAGTATTTCGAGCAATCTCTTAACACAGAACCATTTGCCTCAAACTGGTCCCAGATGACCATATTTTTGCTGCTCTTTTAATATATTCACTCCTTTGCTTTCACTTCTCTGTGCTGTTACACTAGATCCATCGTTCACTCTTCCTGTACAATCTTCCGAGTGATGAGGAGCAAGGCGTTATCTGACCAGTAGAGTATATGAACAAATGGGAGTTTGCCATTTATGAGCGAATTTCAAGGTTCAAGATGGCCAAGGGTGCTGGGAGTCTGACCTCTGAATGAGTGGGACACAGCCATCTTTAGCTTTCCCCTACAGAGTACGAATGAGAATCCAGAGTGTTTTCGGGAGAATGTGTTTTAGAGGTCAAACACCTCACTCCATTTGTGTGAAGATCTTTAAATAGACCCTTCCAGATTCCTTAGTGTATTAATTTAGACTATGATACAGACCTTCTGGATTCAGTAATTTAGAAACAAGGGCGTTTATTCCTCTCTCATGTAGAGTCAAAGCTGAGTGCTCCTAGTGGACAGGGTACTCTGTCCCACAAAGGCATTCAGGGACCCAGGATTCATTCCCCTGCAGCTCTGCCATCCTATGGACACAGAGCATGGTTGGGGCAAAGCTACACCTTCTCTGGGTTCCAGTTGGTGGGAAGGGGAGAGAAGGTGGAAGGGTGTCCATGATGGCATAGAGCCCTTTGACTTCTATCCCTTGGTGGGAACGTCTCTAGGCCACGAGCAACAGCAAGGACTCAGGGATGTAATCCCCAACTGCTGCACTGAAACTCTGTCTATGGAGCAGAACAGATTCTGATGGACGATTGGCAGTCTTTAGTTAAAAAAAAAAAAAAAATATATATATATATATACATACATACATACATATATAATATATATATATAATTTCTATCTTATAGAAGTACTGTGAAACTGCTACATAATATTTTACTTTACAAAAATACAATAGGAAAAAAATCAGACTTCTATAAAATGTTAAAGAACCATACTTATTTTAGATCTGACATAAACCTAAAAGGTCTTCTGGTCATTAGGCAATGTATCTCCAGGAGATGTTGTCTTACTGACTTACTACTGGTCTTCCCCGGAAGAGCTGGAGCTGGGTTCACTGCTAATCCCAGCATCCTAGAAAAGCCTCCTGACACATATAAGGTGATTCATAAATCCCTGTTGGAAGAATAGATAAATGAAAAATACCGAAATGCAGTGATTTTAAATGACTTTGTGAACTAATACTCTCCTCTGCTGAGTTAGCAGCAGTGGCAGAAATGTTTTGGAGATCTAATTACAACACGTTTCTTCCATGTATACATATAATGAGTACACAGTTTCAACAGTGGCCAAAGTACACAAGTACAAAGTACTAAAAAATTTGGACAAGATCCTGAATGATCCTTGAGGTTTATGCTTCTGTTCCAAAGGAAAAGCTAATTAGAGTCTGACCAATGTTGTGCTTAAAATTTTTTTTAAAAAGCAAAGTTCTGTCTTGAATTCGACTCTCAGATGTGAAAAACACATTGTGTGACACTCGAAACACTTGTCAAATCCAAGTGCCTCCATTGGCTGAGAGACAGGAAATGGTCTTTGATCAAGTACCAGCCTTTCCCTCACCAGGACAAAAATCCAACATTTTGCCACCATTAAGACCGAGAGAAGAATTCAAATTAGACAGACTTGTCAGCTGTAAATTAGAAGTAAATTCTTATTACAGAGTGGGAAATTTACTTAAGCAAATATAACAGTAAACATTATTAAAATAAATTCAGTGACCTTTTTAAAAAAGATTACAAAATTGAATTTATTGAGTTTCACACAAGATGCACTTATAAAATTAGTACTGAATGCCATTTTAACAGAAGAAATGAACATCATTCCAAACTCCCAACAGATTCTGCAAAGGAAATGAAATCTTCCGAAAATGACAGCACAATAGTAACAGGATAAATTCAAGCTGAATTGACAGATATACCCAAATCATATTCTTGCTCTGATCAGGGCTACATTTGGCAAAGTTTCTCCTAAACGAGTCCATTCATGTGGACACTGTTCCTTTTGGTGGTGAAGAGGAGATGGATACAAGAATTCTAAAATGGGACTTTGTTGAAACATACACAAAACACGAGTCTTTTCATTTTTAACTCAAAATACTTCCTGGTTTCACAAAAGCATTTCGGTACGATATCCTCTTTTACCCTACGTGAACATTAATCTTCCTATTTCGTTAGTTAATGCAAAACATTAAGATTCACTTCTGTATTTATACAGAAGCCAAAGAAGCCAAAACATTAAAGCGTGCATTGTATTTCACCCAGCAAAGAGATGGATCCCCTAAAATTTACCTTCTGCATATCATACGCCTCAAGTGTCAGCGCAAGAGCTGAACTTCAACATGAAAACATCAAAGGAAATGACAGTGAATAGCAACATTCGCACATTTTGAAATGAGACGCTATAACATTTTTATGAAAATGCAGAAAGGCTTCTCAAGATAAAACTGTGGTGGGAAATGACTTGGCCCATGATGTGGGCCACAAACTCGTAATTAAGCAGAAACGGAAATCTTGATCTCAAACAAAACCAAAAAGCACCTTTTGGTTGCTGTTCCCGGCGTCCAAACACACACCCCTCGTCCCCTGCAACCCCAACGCCACGCTCGCAGCACGAACACGCGGCCCCCAGCACAGGCACCCCCACGGACGCTCCACTCAGCAGGACTCCCGTGTTTTTAAGTCCAAGCAAGACGCTGCCCAAACCATTTAGAGTATTCACTTTAAAGCTGTCACTGTACAACTCTGTTAAAGTTGACACCTTTGGATTTTGTACACGGACAGTTCTTCAGCCCATGCGACACCAAATCCTTTGAACCGTAACAATTTATGAAGCAATTAGTTTTAAAGCGAAACCAGTTAACTATACATTAAAGTTAACACTGCTCTGCTTTTTCAGTATAAAAAAGTGCCTTTTTGTAAGGGTATTTCTATTTTATCCATTGCAATGGAACAATACACAGCTCACATTTTGCTTTAAAGAGTAAACTGAAAAATTACGGAACATTTTTCTCCGTGATGCAACCTTCAGTAATGAATATTTTTTAAATAAACTGGCTTAGGGTTTTTTCCTATAAAATGCTACTATTCATCATGAATTATTTTAGGTAGCCTTTTATTCCGATTAATTCAGATACATCTTCGAGGATTATTCTGGTGGTAAGAACATTTATCTTAAGTTTAATTACCTTTTTTTAATGCTTTGGCAGATGAAATACAGTTTGAAAACTGTTTGTGAAAAGAGTACGGGACTGGAAAGGTAATGTCATGGGAAAAGCTTCACAGTTTTCCAGGTATATCCTTGTACTGAAGAGGCCTTGAGGCAAAATTCCATGTTCTGGAAGTGAGGACTGACGAAGCAGAGTGGTCTGACGTTTCGCCCGTGAGGCCCGGGGGTAACTGCTCCCTGCCGAGCAGGAGGGGCTCCTCCAACCAGTCAGGTTTCCAGAGTCCAGGCTGGAGGTCGCTGCTTTTCTGCGGCTTGAGCGGCAGCCAAACCCCGTTACTGGAAGAAAGATATTAAGATTCGCTTTCCATTAATAATTTAAGTTTTTAAATAAATATTTAAGGGCCATGTTTTGCATCTGTCCGTCCCGGGAGCGGAGCATCTCCTGGCCCGGGACTCTGCATCTTGGGCACAAGAGGCCGCAGAGTTCAGTCGATTCGGTTTCCACAGATTGTGAACCTGTCTACCTCTAACAGATCTTTCTTTGAGGATCTGTGCTTTAATTCAGAGCTTTCCTGCGTTATGTCCTTCTCATCGCCATCTGGAGTGGTCAGAAACTGATCAGAACTGCTTGCCACAAGTAATGGGATGACATTTTCCTTTGGATGAACAGGCTGGCTCGTGACCGAAGCGGACAGGCTTTCTTCTGTGGGAAAACAGATCCAACTAATTAGAAAAGGATTTTCCCCCCAACTTATAATATACACAAACTTACCAAGAGAGTAGGGATGGAAAGAAGTGTCCATCATCCATACTTTCAGGTAAAGCAAGCGATCACCAAATAGCCTGGGGCATGTAGAGCAGTCATAGTTTATAATGAAACTCTGAGGCTCCGCCATTTGTTTGATTAAACTTTTACAGAAAGGCTATTACGTGGATCCTATCACACAACTAACACCACTACCTGATTTTGGGAAGATGAGAACTCCCATACAACAAACTCCCTCCTACATGACCAAGTCCTAATATGATTGTTGCCCGAAAAGTCAGCACTGGCTGCTACAATCAGGACGTCAAGGGGAGGCAGACCCTAGGACATCCAACCTCTTCTGTGTAGACACCTTAGCAGCCCTGAGCATTCTACCTATGGGAAGTCCAAAGCAGAGGTCCTTTCACCTGGACCCACTTCTTCTACCCCTTGAGATTTGTTTAGGCATCACCACCTCCAGGAAGGGAGCCTCTCCTGGCCCGTCCATGCCTGTCAACAACCCGCTCCCCTCTCTGCATTATCCACTTTTGCCATCTCCCCGGTCAGTCTGTGAGGCCCTGCAGGCATGATTTTTTATCTCTGTATCTCCAGCATTGTGTATATTACCTGGCACCCAGAGGCTCCACCTACTTAAAAATAAGCCATTTAAATGAAAAGTCACAAGAACAGATATGGAACAGACAAGGAACTGCCATTAAATGACAAAAACTACATCAGTGTTCCACTTCTTCCTCCCAATCTTCCAGGCCAGCAACCCTAGAATCACCCCTCACTCTGTCTCTTTCATTGTGAAACCTCATCAGCAAATCCTGTGTTCTTCCAGATCTATCTGGAATCTGGCCAGCTCTCCCTACTCACACCACTAAGCCCCATTCTGAGCCAGGCAACCTTCCGGCTGGCCTCTGTCTCTGGGCTCACTCTCCTTGAGTCTCCTTTCCATAAAGCTGGAGAGTGATCCTTTTAAAACGTCAGCTGGATCAAGTTACTCCTTCTGCAACACCTTCCTGAATGGTGTCTGGACTGTGGTCTCATCTCCAAAGCACTCTACACGGACACTGAGACCCTTGTCTGAAATGCACTTCCTACCTGTGAAACAGATCCTTCCCACACAGTAAAAGCCACAGTCTGCATAGCAGTAAGGGGGCCTCTCTGACTCCTTCTCCAGTCCCCTCCCATGGGGTGGGTCCACACCAGCCACCTGGCCTTTGTGGTCCCCCGGCATGCCCAGCACCTGCTGGTTTCCACCCTGGGCCTTGGCACATGGGGCTGGTGGTCTTCCTGGGAAGGTGCCCTTTCCTTAGCTGGGGGAGCTTCAGACTCCCAGTCACATTTCCTTTCCAGACCTGGCTTTAGTTTTTTCTACGGCATGACTGACCCCTCACTTCCTCCCTGTCTCCCCAACAAGTCAGAATCAGTGCTGCCTTTCTTTCCGGCTGCTGTATCCCCTGGGCCTGCCGTGTAGCAGGCGCTCAAGGATCAACTTCTAGACAAGGAATAAATGTAAAAACTCAGAGCACTGCATTAGGTGTATCTGTGATGAGATCTAAAATATAAACATTAAAAACAACTCAGCAAAGTGAAATCAATTCTTGAAAGCATTGTGAAACTGACCAAACGGTGATTTACTAAGAAAATTCAGATCATTAACTCTTTGGAAAATGATTCATACAAGTGATGGAAGGAACCAAATGTACCTTGAGAGGGTTTACATTTGTTCTGTGATTTATTAGGTGGTTTCCCTGGTGCGCTGGCTGGAGGGGGATTAAACAACTTTTCTTCCATCTTGGCCTCCTTCACATACTGGCATGATTTCCCCAATAGCACGATGCTGTTAAGTACTTTCAGGGATATCAACCTAAAACCAGAAAAAAACAAACCACAGTTGGAATTCATCTCAATCACCATGAATGCCATCTCCTACCACTGCTAACGAGAGGGCACGGGGCCAGGTGAGGAGTGTGGGCCTGGAAGCCAGAGGCCAAAGTCTGGGATGGGCCAGTTTCCAGTGAGGCTTCTTTACATCAAGGGAAAATGCCTGATCAATTCCTTTGTTCTCATTACAACAAGAAATTGTACCACTCAGAAGTTTTACCTGGTACCAAATTATTTAACATTTATTCTTTCACTGCAAAACAAATGTATTTTATAAATGCAGATGAATAAAAAATAACTTCTAATCCCAGAGTCCAGCGTTACTCACTGTGACATTTGATATACTATGTTTTGGTCATTTTTATGATGAGTTTATACTAATCTGTACTTTTTCCACTATTTAGGAATGGGGTCTATTTTACAAGGCAGTAGGGGCTAGAGTTTGGGGCCAGGGCAGATTCTGGATGCCCAAGTGTTCGAGCTCAAATCCTGCCTGACTCACTGCTTAGACCCTGTGTGGACCTGGGTGCATTTCTTAGCCACAAATCCAGAGATGATTCCAGTCAGTGCTCAGAATAGTACCTGGCATACAGCAATGTCAACCAATTTTGCTATTTTATTAAATGTTGTTATTGTTTTACATAACAGTGTATTATTATGAATATTTTCCCTACCAGTTAATGTTCCTCAGGGACATTATTTTAATATAATATTTCACTGTTTGAGTTATCATATAACAAAGCCCACTAATGCCCTAAATTTCTGCATATTTGGGTTATTTCCAGTATTTTGTTTCTATTTAAAAGTTTCTAATTAGGAAAACTTAGGTTAAATCTGTATTTCCTTAAGATAACTGTGTAGAAAGCTATGACAGAAGTGGAATTTCTGGGGCCAAAATGTATATGACATTTTAAGGTATCTGATACAAATCTGGCAAAAAAATTCTGAAAAAATATCCTTCAATCCTTCATGTTGGTATCTTCTCATGTACGGGGGACCTTAAATGATACCCCAGACCCCACTAACAGTGTTACTGTGAATGAAGAGGCGGCTGCTGTCTCTATGGCTGAGGTGAGATCCTGGCAATGACAGGAAACTGCGAATCAGTGGGGGCAAGGCTAAGGAGGCACGTGGCAGGGAGGTCAAAGAAAGAAGCAAACGGGTTCCTTCACTGCCCCTAGATTCTCCCCTCCAGGAGCTAAGACAGCAAATATCCAGGGAGGACCTCACATGGATCCATGACCCTAAGGATTTTCACATGCAAAACACTCCCCAATTTACCCTCAGACCCAACTATGCTCGGAACTCCTTACTTATACCTTCCTTGCTTTCCTCATTCTGCCTTGGGGATATCTAACAGGATTTCAAACTTACTAAAGCCAAGCCTGAACTCTTGATTCCAACCCAACCTTCCAAAACACGAAAGAAAACCCCACAAAACCACACCTGCCTATATTTCTCATAGGCTTCCCTATCGCAGAATGGCAATTCCGTTACCCTCATTCCCTGGGCCCCAAACCCTGCAATCATACTTGATTCCTTTGGTTCCCTTACACCTCACATCCCATCATTCATCCACAAGTCCTGTCTGGCTCTACTTTCAACATATGCACCAGCTGACAAAGTGTTAGCACTCCAACTGCTACCACTGGAGTGACTGCCATAGTCCCCTGTCCCCAGGAGACCCGTAACCGCTTCCTGACTTGGCCTGAGGTCTGCTTCTTCTCTTGCCGCACTCCAGGGCATTCTCCACACAGCCGCCAGAGTGGTCCTGGCCGGAAGCCAGCTGGACCTAGCCCTCTTCTGCTTGGAAGCCTCCAGGGTTTCCTCCTTCTCTCAGCCAGAACCTGAGCCCTTCTGAGGGCTGCCGAGTCCCCTCTGTAACGTTTGGTCTGGACCACTGTGCTCTGGCCGCCGGGCTGCCTGCTGCTGCTCCTGTCAGGCCTGTCCTATGTCACCTCTGCCGAATCTGCTATCCTCCCAGGTGTCTGCATGGCTTGCTCTCTCTCCATCTGGTCTCCACTGAACACCAGCTCACCAGAGGGGCTGGAAGGCAGGTATTTCAGCTGTTCTCGATCTCCTTACACGACCCTATTTTTCTTCCTGATAATTACTACAAACTGTCACCTTACAGAGATTTGCTTTTCTAGTTGTTGCCTATTTTTCCACTAGAATTTCAGTGCCACAAAGCCATGGCCTTGGTCTTGCCCCGGGACCAGTACCTGGTACCTAGCAAGTGCTCACTGAGGCGTGCTGGCCGCAGGAGGAGGGCAGAGGCCGCTGGCCTTCCTCCTGCAGGTCGGCCATGGCAAGTCTAGGGGGAAAGAAGTGGAACCCGGGGCAGTGGGGAGACAGTCCAGCACTGTGTGCCATAAGGCCCAACTGAAATCTGACTTGTCCACACTCAAGAGAGAGTCCTGGGATGGTGAGGTCAGAGAATAAAGGAGGCTTCAGGGAAAAGGCAGTCTGGGAAAGATTTTGAAGGAGGGGAGGATAATTTGGGCACTACCTTGATATAAAGTAATAAGGAGAAATGAGTGGAGTAGTAAGGTCGGTGAGCAGCTGGGCCTCTGTGGACTATCAATGTACAGTGATGAGGTGTGGGGGGAGGGGATGTGAATTTTCATTCAGATTAAAGTATGTCCACTTTGGTGAATTACACACACACAACTGTAACTAAACAAAAGTTTTTCAATGTTGCATACACATGCTTTACTTCCTAGTTTAGGTCAAAAGAAAAACACAAGAATATTTTGTTAAATAAAGATGAGAACAATTACAGCAACAGCCCTTGATGAGCAAGGCACAAAGCCAAGAACTTTGGAGCGCTACGTGAGCATCTGCACCAGAGAAGCAGGATCTCATGGTTTTAAATGTCAAACTGAGAGAGGTGTGTGGTTCCTTGAGCTTTAGAATCTGTGAGTCAGTCCCTGAAGTATGAAGAAGGGGCAGGCTCTAGGAGAAATCAAGGCCCTGGACTCCCTGCCTCAACACAATTTCCCCAAGTGCTCAGTGTCAAACCACAGCCACCAATCACGGGACTGATGACGTGGGTTGGGAGATAATGCAGGACAGAGGCCTGATGGCAAGGGGGGAAACCTAACTCCTAGAAGCTGAGCAAAACCTCGTTGGGGAGAGCCCCATGGATTCACTGAGTTAAAGATGTTTTTAAACATAGGAAAATGTCTGATTGTAAGGACAGATTTTATTGTGAAAGGAAATAGGAGTGCAATTGAAATCCTAAGCAGAAAGAGCTTTAACTGATTTTGCTGAAGATTAAAATAAAATCTAAAGTGCTTATTAATACTAGTACCAAAGAGCAGCATATTTCACTGACTCTCACCAAGTCATGAGAAAATCTGGAGGTATGTGTTGTTAAGGGAGCCCTGGGTCAGTGAGAATAGGTGGAGGGTGATTTGGTTGCAATTAACTTCCATTATATCTTGCATATATACTTGATTGTACAACCGAAAACATATTAAAGAATAGTTAATCTTACCCCAAATAGAAGAGTATGACACAGGCATAAGACAGGATTCCTTGCACTTTAATTGAGCTTGTTACAACTCTGATGAGCTAGCCAGAAACAAATCAAAAGAAACAAAAAACACACAAACAAAACATACAACCACAGAGTTATTAGTTAATATTTAAATAAAGACTTCTCCATGCTGATTTCAACATTTTAGTTATACTCCCGTGGGCTTTGTTTAAATCCAAGCAAGTAGTCCTAGGTTTTTCAATTTGTATGAACATCTAGCTGCTTATGAAAACTTCTGAGGTAGACTTGTTCAGGCAAATTTAGGATTCCTGTGGTGAATGTCACGTTCAGCTGCTTGCTGACTCTCTGAAGTCAAGCACTATATCTAGGTTCATTAATGAGACATGTAGTTGTACCCCACAGAGATGCAAATCAGCTGATTTTTTTTAAAATGAAAAATCACTCTGGAAAATACAAATAAATCCATTTTGCTGCATGTGTGCCCATCAGAGCTAAAACCACATAGTGAGCACTTCCTTTATCCTTGCTTTGTCTTTCCTTAACTCTTTTTAGGAACCCACAGTGACTTATGGGAAAGAGAGAGAAAAGGGAGCCTTAGGAGCTTTGTACTGTTAAAAAAAAATTAGTAATATCACAGCATTATCCCTGGAAGTGTGCTGAATAAATCTTGTGGGTCTGTCACTGGAAAATATTTACACATTACAGGTTCGGCTCAATAATGTGTCTGCATCTCAGGGTCTAGGGGGGCTGCCACATGGAAATGGAAAGTTTGGGAAAATAACGGGCCTTATCCAGCAATGTTGCTTATCAAGTGGAACTCCACTAGAATGTCTTAAATAAATACCATAAGACACATTTTAAACCATATTTTACAAATGCTTTTAGTAAAAGAACAACTGGGTAGAGATCAAGGAAACTGTCACATGTTCACTACAGGTCCACTACAAGAAGACTGATATGAAGTCCTTGTCTCTGTCACAGGCTCTAATGCAGAGATGACCTGCTGTACAAGCATTTGTGACGGAAGTTAATGTGGCTCTAGGATTTTACTGATTAATAAGAAAGACAAGCCAACTGCTGCATTCAAGGCTTAAATGATTTCATTTTTATCTAATATGTTATTAAGTAATTTTATGGTACATATGTCCAAAGCTTAATTTCCATGAGACCTTAATATATCATTTCTTTTACTTTTCCTGGATATGATTTCATTTAAGGGAGAAACACTGCCACTTGTGGGCCTTAAAGAGGCCTTGGAGTATTCCTCAAGGCTCCTAGATGGCTGCCAAAGCTACAGGGTCACTTTGGAGCTCTACGAGTAAAGTGCTACAGGAGCAGACCTGCTGGATCACTGCCTAACTGCATGATCCCCTCTGAAAATGCGGGAGGTTCTCCAAAAGCATTTCACTAATCAATTATTAGCTAAACTTAAATCTTGTGGTACATCAATCATAAAAACTCATTTAAGGAATAAAACAAAGGCCAGAGAAAAATTTTAAAAATACTAAATTAGAAAATCCATACTAATTATGAATAGAGTTTTCTGGCAAATAAATTACTACTAGTTATTATTTGGCAAACCAGTGCCACATTTAAATCCAATCATTTAACCAATCCTTTAAAAATAAAAACTCAGTCAGGCAACCTAGATTTATCCTTATAGTATATGTATCATGTTTCCAGTTGTAGGTAACAAATGTAGAAAGATTTAACATTTTATCAATTGTTTTAACAATTTTACTCTTTAAAATATTCTGTTTTTCCAAAATTCTAGGAGCTCCTTTTCCCAGAAAAAGAAAGCTATATTATTATATAACAAACAAGTTACTAATAGAATTGAAAACATTTAGGATGTGGTTGTCTGGAGAGTCACAATGAAATTTACATAACATTAAATCTGCTAATCTCCCAGCCTTTAAAAAAGGTCAGGCACAGCTGGGCTAGATACAGTTGGTATCACTTACAACTTCTTTATACATGTTAGTTGGCTTCCATGACACTGCATCTACATGAGAACTCTAGATGTCCTTTGGCAAAAAGACGATTGCATTTGTTTTGATGTGAGACTAGGTAGCCAATGAGGAACATAATCAAATACAGGTACGGCCAGCAAATCTTAATTAACAAACATTATTATGGCCTGCTGTGGCTAGTAACTTTTTGCAAGGCCGTTCTGAGCAATTCATTTAAATATTCAAAGTTGGTGACTATTTTTTGGATTGATTTAATACATTTCAGTGCTAATATTTAATATGTATACATATTTTTTCTTTTTTTTTTTTTTTTTTTTTTAAAGATTTTATTTATTTATTTATTTGACACAGAGAGATCACAAGTAGACAGAGAGGCAGGCAGAGATAGAGGCGGAAGCAGGCTCCCCGCCGACCGGAGAGCCCGATGCGGGACTCGATCCCACGACCCTGAGATCATGACCTGAGCCGAAGGCAGCGGCTTAACCCACTGAGCCACCCAGGCGCCCCTGTATACATATTTTTTCTGAGTATAACAGTAAAACTTTTCATTGTAAAAACTCTGGAAAAATTGTAAAAAGTGACTATAATGGATACAGACTATGTCTTCATTTGATTATATCAAAATTTATTTAACCTATTTCATGACTTTCAAATTTCTACTATTATAAATGCCACTGCAATGCATAATCTTGCCTATAAATCATCGTGTGCTTTTTATAACTATTTTCTTAGGATAAATTCCTAGAACTCCAAGTACTGCATCAAAGCATAATACTGTCAAACTGCCTTTTAGAAATGTTGGATAGACTTCTTATACTTCCGCTAATACATGCTACAGTGGTCGCACCAATGCCTACACTAGACATTTCCGTTCAAAAAGAAAAATCTCTGCCAAATGAATAAGCAAAAATGAGTACTCTCATTACTAGGAAAGCCATTACATAAACTATCTGTTAAAATTACTCATCTGTTGGACAGCTCAAAATCCAAAAGAATTAATACCATAACTTAAAATTTCCTTCCAAGTCATTTACATTTAGTTTTTGTATCAGGTCCGTCTGAAATAAACTTCTCGATAATCCGTTTGTTAATACTTTATCATAACAGCTATCTCACGGTAGAAAAGCAAAAAAAGTATGAACTTACTAGAACAGCCAGTGGGAGAGGGATGAACCCCATCCTCCGTGCCACAGAGTCACTGTAATCAGTATATGCCTGCACAGAGAAAGGAGAAAAGGATTTACGGCATCAAAAAAGTTCACTTCCACTTACCACCAGCAGATGTTCTCAACGGGTGAGGCTATGCACAAAAAGAGAACCCAGCAACTATTATGTAATTGAGTAAAATGTGGAAATCTAAATGTTCATTAAGAAGTTCTAAATCCAAAGTTGTATAACAGTTAATATGCTACAGAAATCACGCCTTATTTAATATTAAGTACTGTCATTATTTTACTAAGTTACAAACATAGTGTCGAGAATAGAGATAAGTAGGAAGTTGCAGTTTATGCAACTTTCCCTTAACCAATATTCCACGCTAAATTAAACCATTGTTCAGGTAATTTTGGACTATGTATTCAATATAATGCTTACATTTTTCTGTCGACTGCTAACAAGGTCAAAAGCAAGGCTGGCTCTATATTCACTGTAGACCTAAAGACAAATAAAAGTGAAATACTAAGTGATATAGTGCAATGTATAATGTACAAAGACTTAATTGACTTTGTAGATGAAAATGTTTAATAATTAACCAGGGAAAAGGTGCTGATGGCCAAGCAGACATCTGGATAGTGCTTCTCTGTTTTCCTACAGTAAAGGTAAAATAGCCTCAGCCCCAACTGTTATGTTCACAAGCTTTTTGAAGATTTTTTTTCAAAGAGGGATAAATAGTCAATGATTATGATCCTGAGAGTTTAGAATCTGGGGAAGAATGGTTATTTTAAGTAGTATAATACATATAAAATAATTTTTAAATTTTAAATGCACAGTTTAAAAAATTATTATTATGATAATGATGTATCATTCAAACAATGGGTGCTAAGCAAGATGTAAAACTGAGTTCGAAGAGGTAACATTTACAAAGGCACTGGAAACTGTCATTTCACTAAAACTGCACTAAGTACTTGAATCAAGTTTATTAATTTTGCCTTCAGATAATGAGAAAATGATCCCATGGAAAGCCAACCATTTTGTACTGAGGAAACCAAGAGAGTCAACAGTGAAATTACTTGATCAGTGCTTTATAAAAGAGTACAAAATCTTATTTAAGTTTATTAAAGCATTCAGAAACTCTTAATCAAATCATATTCTAGCAATTGCAACCACATTAGATTTCAAATCTCTGCTTTTTGAAATAGTACCACAGTAAGACAAAGTACAACCCAAGTAAAATCTAGGAAACTGTCCAAATGAATATTCATTTTGGGGCTGAGGTAGGAATGGGGAAGGCACTGAGAACTTCCATGCTTTGTGTACAATGGGCCTACAGCACACATCTATTTGTGGAAACTCCACAGAATGATGGTTGAAACATAAAAGCAAATCTCCTAAGTGCTTTCACCAAAAAATATAAGGCTCTTGTTTTCTACAACTTTTCAGAAATCTATAATCACAGAAAAAAAATCAATTTTTAAATACAAAATACTTAAAAAATCTAGCCAGAGAGAAAAGGTTTGATAGTCTATGCTTAAAAAGAAGCAATGTGATTTTTAGAAGTTTTTTAAGTACACAGACTATGATAGTATTAACAATTTATCATGATTCTGAGTTAGAGACATTCTACTCTGACCTGAAATATTACCCAAACTATACTTCCACAAAAAAGTATGGAACCAGGACTGTTCAGTATTTAAATAACATACTTTCTGTAGTGTAACAATTTTTAAAAATTTAAAACTGTAATTCTAACTTCAAAGTAGTACTCTTATGTTAATAAATGGAATAAACCTAGCTTCATTTTACATCTTTATAATATTAAGCAGAAGTCAACATTACTTAATATTAATATTACTTTTTACATTAATATTACTTTTCATAATTACTATTTTTTGTTTTTTTAAATTTAAATTCAAGTGAGTTAACACATACTCTTGTATTAGTTTCAGGAGCAGAATTTAGTGATTCATCACTTACATGTGACACCCAGTGCTCATCCCAACAATGCCCTCTTTAATACCCATCACTCACTTATCCCATCCTCTACCGACCTCCCCTCTAGCAACCCTCAGTTTACCTTCCTCTCGGTTTCTATCTTATTTTTCCTTCCCTTTCCCTATGTTCAACTGCTTTGTTTCTTAAATTCCACATATGAGTGAAGTCATTTGGTATTTGTCTTCCTCTGACTTGTCTTGCTTAGCATAACACACTCTAGTTCCATCCATTGTCACTGAAAGATTTCATTCATTTTGATGTGTGCATGTGTGTGCGCGCACCTTCTTTATCCATTTATCAGTCGATGGACATCTGTGGCTTTTTCCCTAATCTGGCTATTACTGATAAAGCTGCTATGAACATTGGGGTGCATGTGCCCCTTCAAATCAGTATTTTTGTATCCTCTGGATAAATACCTAGTAGTGCAATTGCTGGGTCATAGGGTAGTTCTATTTTTAACCTTTTGAGGAACCTCCATACTGTTTTCTAGGGTGGCTGTACTAATTTTCACCGAAGTCAACATTAAACACTGAATTGCTTGCTTATTAAGATACATACATCTGCGGTAATGTCATTGAACTTGGTGATAAAGGCATGTTTTACAATATCCACAGCAGTTTCTGATGCAATCACCATACAGACATCTGGAAACAACACCCAGAGGTGATCTAGAAAGGACAGGGAAAAGGAGACAATTAAATCTCTTAATATGAATAGAACACCTTAAACCATAATATCATAGACTGCCATAGAAAGGTAAAATCTCCAGAGCTTAACTATAATGTTGTTAATAAATGATAACAGAGACAAAACTAGCATCCAATTATCACAAGAGCTACATTTTATCAAATTAAAGGATAATTCAATCAACAGCTCTTTATTCTGTATTTCCTCTGCGCTAAACCCTTGAGGGGCAGGACAAAGAGGTGAACAGAGCCTCCAACCTCCTTCATGGAGCCGGCACACTGGTAGGATGGCTAATTAACCAGGTTTGTCATAAAATCCTTTAATTTGATAGCTGCCAATTGTGACAGTAAATAGCTAGTAGGGACATGTGCTGAAGTCAACTGAATAATCTCCTCCCCTCTTTATCACTATGAATTAAAGATACTGGGAAATAACTTCTGGAAATATATTTCCAAGATCACATATCTCATTTAACACCTGTTTCTGGTTTTTCACAGGTACCTGAAAACTAGCAATGAATCAAAATAAATGAAGAAGAAGTTATTAAAAGCCTGGGATGTGCACGGCATTGAGGGTAATAAATAAAATGCAAAGTATAATCTCGGTTCTAAGAATGAGGTTGCATAAAAATGACAGACATGGGGGCACCTGGGTGGCTCAGTGGGTTAAAGCTTCTGCCTTCGGCTCAGGTCATGATCCCAGGGTCCTGGGATCAAGACCCACATCGGGCTCTCTGCTCAGTGGGGAGCCTGCTTCTCCCTTTCTCTCTGCCTGCCTCTCTGCCTACCTGTGATCTCTATCAAATAAATAAATAAAATCTTTAAAAAAAAAAGACAGACATGAAAAAACTCTCAATTACACAAGACATGGCCATTTCCCACCAACTTCACTCAGCACTGCCAGACTGTGCTCTAATTCCCTGCAGATTTCCACTATCAGCCTGGGAGTCCTATTTCTATCTTAGGACTCTGTATGTGTGCTACAGTGCCTGGCTTTATGGAAATGCCTACTACGTGAACAGATAATGAAAATTCATAGAATCTTAACAACTTCCTATCAGCCTTGATTTAAAAATGTGTAAGTGACCAAATGTACTGTCTTGTATCATATTTTTTTTCAATTTATCCTCATTCAAAATGCTAAATAAGAGGCAGTGAATGAGTAAAAGACAAATGTTAAGAAAGAACAAAAGTTCTTCTGGCGAACCTTGAACATGAAAAAAAGCCAACTGCATTTAGATAACCCCAGGGCACTACAGTTAAGAAAAGAAACAAAGAGGCTGCAGTGCTCAGCAGCATCCACTCACCCATGGAGTACACAGCTCTAGAGACACTGTGAGGTTTACAGGAAATGATGGGCCAAAGATTACCTCACATGGTGAGGCATTCCATCCACCACCCACCACACCACGGGGAACATGCTCAATCCCTTCTACCCAAACAGGTATCTCTAACACCCTAGGAGCGGAGCAGCTCAAGTTTTTGAAGTTCTCTGCAATATTCACTTTAGTCATGTAAAAGAATGATTTTTGGTTCAAGAGTAAAATTCGAAGGCACTGTATCAACTAAGAGTTACGTACCTGGATTCCAAGAAAACTGCTCCATGTTTCTTAGACACACTATTAACAAAAGCACATAATTCGTGAATCGTTCCTTGATATCTGAAAAAAAATTAAAATATACTGTACTATATATAAATAATATAATATAGCTCATGTACAACTTTTAGTCAGAACATGATGGAAGTATAATTATATATAAATGTCTGCAAAATAAATATACTATTTTCTATATAAGATGGTGTTACATTGGTAAGGCATTTGTGTCTCAATTCAGGTATGGAAATTCCAGTTTTGTATACGGTTGAACATATCAGTGTTTTTTTCTGTTTAAATAGCTGAGTAGTGTTTCACAGCATGGCTATACCATTTGTTTATCTGCTTTCTTACTGAAAGACACTGCGTTATTTCCAGTTTTTGGCTGCTATGAATAAAGCTCCCGTATTTCTTGTACAAGTCTTTTGTGAAAATGTGTTCTCACTGCTAAGTTACAGAACAGGCAAATAAGAACCTACCAGGGCAAATGTAGTATTTCCCATCAAAGTATGAGAACACCAGTCAGCTGGTACCCCTGCTAGTGTTTGCCAGTGGCAGACTACGGGAGCAGCCACTCTGGGGGGTGGGTACTAGTATCTCATCAGGACTCTTTCACCCCCATTTTCCACCACGGTACAAATGTCAACATGGTGAGAGATAAACTATGTCTTCATATTCTCATGAAATGTTCTTGACTTTGTGAACTTCACTGCAGGGTCTCAGGGATGCCCCTCCAAGGTTCCACAGGCTATACTTTGAGAACAAAGACATTATGCTGCTTTGATTTTTGTAACTATGATACAAAAGATAATGTTTCCAGGGATAGATGTTGTGCTTTCACTCTTCTTAGGGTTACTAAGGAGCCAGTAAGGCATAAATGAAAAAGCTGAGCACAGAGAGACAATCTGAGGTTTACAGTCATAACTCTGTTCTTGACATCTGTGTGGGTGACCTTGGGGAAGTCAAATTATGTTCTCTGTGTGTTAGTTTCTACATCTACGAAATGGAATATCATCTGCTATGAAGAAATTTTTGGATTAATAACAAGCTCTGGAAGAATGGTATGGTGGTATACAACTGCCATATTGAAATATTTTGAGATTACAATAACCATGATAATAAGAAAACCTGGTAAAGATGTTAAGGGAGTAAGAGAAAGCACAGCTAAGTCAAAGAAGCAGTAGCCCAGAGGAAATGTGGCAGGCAAATTCAGAATAAACTGCAAAATCATACTGCATAAAGCTGCATGTAGAAGCTAAGTGTACGTACCACTATTCGACATCTGAAAGAGATTGTTCTTTTCAAACTTCTTGAAAACACTTCCTTTAATTTCAACAAACTGAAATAGTAAACAAAAATATCACCTTTATCACTGTAACAGTTTAAAAATGGACAAGATACATATAAAACTTCCTGGACAGTAAATAACATTTAAAAAATAATTTTATTCATCTACAATATTTCCATTAAAGTGCCCATATAACCTCAAAAATATAAAATAAAATCTCATACTTACATTATTAGACATCATGATGGTAAGCAGTGACTTGTTGTGCGAATTAAAAGCCACGTTGAGAGTTGTTGCTTGAACCATAATAAGAATTGCATGCAAAACTAGCAGTGAATGATGTCAAGGAAAAAGCTTGTCTGTTTTCACATTAGTATATGAAACTATACAATTTATAAAGTGAATAATGGGAGGGATGATTATGCTTTCTAAATCCAGTCTTGCGTTAGTGTTTTATTATCTTGTTAGCTATAGTTGATACAAATCTGACAGGTAAGATGTACGGTACTCATTAGAAACAAAAGCAGAAATGAGCCTCTGGGCATCTATTCACTTTAACTGTGAGTCTTGGAAGACGGTTATCTTGTTCTTTCTGGACTTCTGGCATTTGGCAAAAGATGTGGGAAACAGGCCCTCAAAAAAGTTTCTAATAAGTGGAATAAACTATGGTAAATACTGAAAAAAGAGACTTAGCTGATTTACATTCTAAAATAGAAAAGAACACAAAGCAACTGGCTTCTACAGTTCTGCAGGGGGTTGGTGTGGGGATGTAAGATGACAAGAAATGTCTGATAATTGAGATTCTTCTTTAGATGTCATTTTTGAAGATATTCACAAGTTGCAGAATTATATTCATATTACACATATAATAGTTTATTTAAATGAGAATACTATTTTACTCCACATACTTAGAACAAACTTTTATAATTATAAAAATCTTCCCACTGAGCCCCTTAACTTTCCAAGTATTAACCCAGTATTTTCAGGCATGGCAAATTCAGGGACAGTACACATTCCTGTGAATGAGTCTGGACCCCATATGGAACTTAAGTATAGCTATGCATGTGTGTGTACAGATGGCTACATACACACATACAAACAGTTTATATAGTAAAGCCTTTAACTTTTCAAAAGAAAAGCTTTAAGAAGCGGTGTGGGGAGCAGAGGAGATAAAACTTCCAAAATTCCTCCCCAAACAATTTCAAATTTTACCTCTAGATGAACCACATACATTTTAAGTCCTATGTTTTGACAAAAAATTCATAGGCTTAAAGATAACTTCCAAACAATTTCAGTATGGGCATGAAAGTTATGTGGATCTCTATAAAGCATGTATAAATACAAACCTAGCTTCTCAAGTTCTTCCATATAATCAGTCACACTGAGCACACTGAGACTAGAACTGTTTTCTACCAGTTAAAGGGATCAAAATATACATGAGGCTCTTTAATTCACAATAACTACTATAACCAATTTATTAAAAGAAAGCAGACATTTCACATTAATCTTCAGGACACACACACACCTTTAAATTTGAGAAATAGCTAGCCGAATAAAATAATGTAGAGTATGTATTGGCTTGAAATTTCCAGTAATTCTAAAGGATACAGACATAGAGAACAGCCATGAAAAAGTGAGGGATCACTCCGATATGGGCTCTTTTTCTTTCTTTAGGTTCCGTTGCTGTCCAATAGAGAGCATCTAATATATCTTGTCCAAATGATGAAAACAGACGATCTGCTACCTAAGGAGAAAAATTATTGGAAAAATGTTTTTCTTTTTCTGAAAAGTGTTTTTTAACATCCGACCTAAATATGTTACTCAAACTCAGATGCAACTCAAAAATACTGGAGCTCTGACTTTTTAAATCTCACTGTAAGGGAAGCCACAAAAGAGCAGGGATCTCTTTATTCTCTGACACAAAGTGAGTGCTCAAAATCTTGCATTATTTGAATTAGACTTTGTCTAATTAGCTATATATTTATAACAAGAAGAGTATTACACAGTGGCAAAAATAAAAGGGAGAAGCCCATCAAAATCATAGTCTTTCTGATTTTAATTATTTAAATTCAGATTCAGGATTTGAACTTAAGTCTTTTAAGACAAATAAACATCATTTGACCCACTGTATTTACACCTAATATTTGTAGACAGCTGTAACTGTAATTTGTTTTAGATTAATCACATAGTATATAATATGCAGATTTACTTCCAAAAGACATTTTCAGGTATCGATTTCCATGAATAGAGTATGATGAAAAAAAGCAGCACATCAAAAAGAAAGGAGAGTATATATTACTCAGGCTTCAGCTAGAATGTTACATCCACACCCAGGCTGTCAATCTCTGGCTCCCTCAGTCTCTAATCCATCACCCTGTTCTTTTGCATTATGGTATTTATCACTTCCAAATACCTCCTGGTTTACAGTCTCTTTTCCACCTGCAAAACACAAGCTCCTTAAGAACAGGCTTTGCTCACCTCTGGATCTTCAGGGCCTAAAGCAGTGCTTGGCACACAGTAAATTTCGATTAAATTAAATTAAATTATATTGTCAAATGCAGGCGTAATAGTGACCCACTGTTTAGGGTGCACCCGACACATGTCTGGTACTGTGTATAGGCCCTGCCTATACACTGCTTCACCGCACGCTCACAATTCCCCTAGCACTTGCATTCACAGATGAAACAGGAAGAGTTAGAGACACTCAGCAACTAGTACCCATGTCCAGGGCAGTGAGTTAGTAAGTGGAAGAAGTGGGGTTTGGTCAGAGATGGTTTATCTCCACTATGCCAAAACTACATCAACAAGTATAGTCTGTAAAGCGAATATGCATTTCAGCCATTCTGATCAGCAATTTGTGGACCCTTTTCCTTGAGGCCTATTCTCTAATAACAGTGTTGAGACCACCCTGTAGAGGGCTTTGTAAACTAGGGGACACATGCATTACGTGTTGGGGTAGGGAGAAGCTTGCATCACCTGCAATACCTTAAGAGGAAAGGCAGTGAAGGAGACTGGTAGGCTACAGAAGGAGCGAGATGAGCCCAGGCTTTTCTGTGAGAGGATGACTACTCCGCCTTTCACACTTCACCCACACCGTCTGCATCCTATGTGGTGCATCCTACTTGGGGGTGGAGGGGCAGAGCAAGAGCAAAGGCAATGAGTCTAGAATCAGGAAGCTGGTGTGTGGTTTTAAAACATGTTGGTCAGTGAATTCAGGAGTAACTGGGATGGCCAGAGTTCCATGGCTTCTGTGAAGAGATGGAAAGCCCTCATCTACCATAGCAATATAGCCTTAGAGCAGAAAGGCCAGCAGCCCCCTACATCCCTCCTTCTGCCCACTCATTAAGAAAAATCCTTTTCCAGCTAAATTAAAAGATAAGTAGACCTTATTTGTATCCCCAAAAAGTAATAGAGAAAAATGCATGTGAATCTCAAAAGTTTTATTATATAACCTAGAGTAACTATTTTTTTTTTTAAGATTTTTTATTTATTTATTTGACAGACAGAGATCACAAGTAGGCAGAGAGGCAGGCAGAGAGAGGAAGGAAAGCAGACTCCCTGCTGAGCAGAGAGCCCGACATGGGGCTTGATCCCAGGACCCTGGGATCATGACCTGAGCCTGAGGCAGAGGCCCCAACCCACTGAGCCACCCAGGTGCCCCTAGAGTAACTATTTTAAGAACTGATTAAAATTCTGCCTATATAGCAAAGAATGTTTTTTTTTCTTTGTGTAGCTGCTTATTTTTTGTATGAAAGCAGGTTCTCACATGTTGACTGCTTTAAAGTGAAATATCCTGCATTAAAAGTATTGAGGTGCCTGGGTGGTTCAATTGGTTAATCGTCTGCCTTTGGCTCAGGTCATACTCCCAGGGTCCTGGGATTGAGCCTGCTTCTCCTTCTCTTCCTCCCCACTCATGCTCTCTCTCGCTATCTCTGTCTCTCAAATAAATAAATAAAATCTTTAAAAAAAAATATTAAGTACTTGGAGAGACTGAGAAACTTATGTTTACTTGCTCTTATGTAAAAATTCCAAAGCATTTTAAATGTAAATCTATTATAGCAAATGTATATACAATCCTAACATTTTTTTCATAATTTTTAAAGTTTTAGTAAGATGTATACATGGGTTTCTAATGAATATGCAAACAAATTACCCCACCGTATGATAACTTACATTCTCAAGGGGGTACTAACTAAAAAGTCTCTAGACAGCAGGTATCTTTCTCTCCTACTTGAGGACGCATCATGCCCTGGGGACCAAGGACCAGCAGTAGGTACCATCTCGTGAGAACGAGATTGTCCAGTCTCAGCCCAGAACTACCTAATAAGAATCTGCATTAGATTCTGTCCCAATACTAGAGTTGTTGGGTGAGTATTCTGTATCATTGGGTTCAAAGTCTGCACCTTGACCAAGCCTGTGCGGCTGGGAGGCTGGGCTGACTGTGCAGGTACAGGAGGGCCTTCACTCACCTCGAGCATATTGTAGATGATGTAGAGCTTGATTACTGACTGCCCCCTTATCAGGTGATACATCATGGAGTAGTCAACGTAGTGCATCATAAAATAGCATATCACCAAAATGACACCCTTCAGAATGTCACACACCTGAGCAGGCTGAAGCAAACGTCTGTCCCTGAAATACATAAGAAGTAATAAAAACATGAGTTTTACTTTACATGCTCTTGAAATCATCTTTACTGGACATACAAGAGCATACAGAGATAATAATGAGAATTCAGTCGCTCTTTTAAGAACTGATAAGTTATACTGACTACTCAACCACATGAAGTTTTCTGCCCAACAACAACAAAAAATATATTAAACCAGAATTACTAGCAGAAGTGGGTCCTCTTAACAAGGGAACACAGAGGGCGGGCATCTGCTGACAACGTGCTTTGAAGCAATGGAGTTCCCGGACTCTAACCTCATCTTGAAGCCCCCGCAGCCCACTGGCTCAGCCCTTTCCACACACAGGTAGCACTCTGCACTTTTTATTTACCAGCGGAGCAGGTTTCTCCATGTTACTGCATGAGGAGTTCGTATTTCTATGATGGCATTGGGGTCCACTGCGTGGATGTGCAGTAATTCATGGAATGCCCTGGCAGATGGCCAGTTTTCTGCAACTACGAACTATGATGCCATGTGCATGTCATGCCTTGTATGTGAAAATGTACCCGTAGAATAAATTCCTATAGTCAGAGGGTTTGTTCCCTCAAAAGAAGCAGTGAACTACCCTCTGCAATGGCTGTGCCAATGTTCACATCCACTAGCAGCTCCTGGGGAAGGCTGCAGTGGATATGCTGCAATCCAGGATTTGATTGGCTGCTGGCTCTCTGCCAATCCCACTGTTGAAAATGGCATCTAGCATAGTTTCAGTTAATTCTTCCCTTTAGGAAAGTACATTTCTCTATATATTTATTTATATTTCCTGTGAATTCTCCCTTCCTATCTTTTTCTTGCTTGACAGGAGCTGAAACTAGTTTTTTCCTAATTACTACTAGAACCACTGCTTACTTCAGGATGGGGTTCAAGGCAGTCCACCTCAAAATATGCTACTATGGCATCTTAATTTGAATTAAAGTTACGTAAGAAACAGCTGGTGTAAGAAGGACACTCTGACCTCCTCTGTCCCCTTGAAAGTGGGAGCTAAATTCCCTGGGGAATGGCTCCCTCCCCTGGGCAGAGAAGGCATCCTTACCACCAGAGAGAAGAAATTCAGGGCTGAGAAGGCTGTACAAACAACACTTGTACTTCTTCATTAATTTGCTATCCCAAACCTAAACTTCTCCATCTTGTTAATTCTTCATAAATTTACTATCTCTTTGTCTTAAAGATATAAAAGTGTCCTGCCTACTCACTTCTTTGAGTTGCCTATTTTTATGAGTTCCTGTATGTATGAAATTGTATTTTTCCCCTGTGAATCTGTTTTATGACAATCTAATTATTGGACCAGCAGAAGAATCTAGATGGGAAAAAAGGAGAAGTTTCCTCCCTTACACTTCAAGGTCAGAGTATGAAGAGCAAAACCTAAATTGTGCATGGAAACATCTGATTAAGACACAGAAAAACTACAAAGAAGAGAAGAAATTTATGATTTCTTTCAGTAGATATGAAACTCCTGTGGCTGGAATGGAAAGCAGCTTGCTCTACTGCAGGCGAATTCCTCAAGACAGGAAATGCTCCATCTTCTGTTTGGGAAGCTTTTATGTAATCAATAAAAAGCTTCCAGCACTTTCTTCAGGAGTTGCAGAATCTCTTCATTCTCACCATAGTGACAATGTTCTACCAACTACCTAAGGGCTGGTGAGCTCATTTTCCAGCTGAACCTGGACATTCTGAGGTCTTCACATCTTCTCTATTCCCTAACCACTGTCCACATTCAGATCAAGGTTCTTCTCTTTGAGAGAGCCTTGCAGGGTTCAACAAGGATAGGTCTTCCAAACTGTTACCTGAAACACTGTTTTACAAAAACAGTGAAACGTTAGTTTACAAACGAGGCTTGCAATAGCAGCTCTGTGAGCAGGTGATACAGAACCTCATTCTTGTTTTCCACAATGCACACCACACATCGCTTTTAGTCAGATATGAAATTGATCTGTTCACAGAAAAAATACAGGATACTGCAAAAATCCTGAAAAGAGGTAAGTTCTGTGAGAACTAAGTCCACAAAGGTTTAGAAGTAGATGGGAAGACATTGGGCTGAGCCAGTGAGTCTATATGGGGAGACAGGTCAGAATTTGTCTATGTCAGACCTTGTGTCTTGACACCAGCAATATAAACTGATAAACCGAGTAAAATTATTCTTAGCAGCTGAAATTTTGGGGAAAATCGCATCAAGGACAAAGCTGATCAATCTCCAGCACCATTTCCCTGTCCCCCTGACTCTTCTCCAGTGCTGTTCCTCTCTCCCAACCCAAGTGGATGCTGGCCTGTTTCTCCTCATGGAACCAGAGGGATCTTCACCTGTCTCCCAAACACCCAGCCCAGAACGCAGATCTCTGCCTAGGGCTATTCCCTCATCAAGGCAATTCTCTGCTCCCACCTTACAAAATTAAAAACAGAAGAGGTAGTACATTTGTTGAGTGGGGGGAAGCATGTTTTTCATTCAAACAACAAGAGGAGGAGGCATTCTGAACACTCTGGGCTGCTGGCCTGTGTGTGACTCTGTCCCGAGACAGCCGAGGGACAAGCTGGCATCAGCAGCCCTCTCTTCCTCTGAAGTGCGGGTGCAGCTCTGCATATGCCAAATACCACAAATCACCAAGAGGCGTGGGCCTTTGTAGTTAGGAACTATAGGTCACACGTTATGAATTAAAGAAAATGATAGGTACCCAAAGTAGGGCAGTATTAATTACTCTGCATTAATTACCAAGGTGACTTTGATAACTAATTAAAGAAAACTATACTTAGAGCTTTTGGTACTAGACTGGCATCTATTTAGTTAAGTGATCTCAGCAAAGTGATTTTATTTAAGAGACAAAGGCTTTTATATATATCATATCCAATTGTGTGTCTTCATAAACATATACAACAAAGGGCCAATGTGTTAATGTGTGTCTATGAAGGAACGGTGTATTAATTACAAGACATCGCTGCAAATTAGAGCTAACAAACACTAGAAATAGATATACCCAAATAACACAGTATGACACATTTTGAACTAAGATGATAAAAATTTAAAATCAAGCAAGCATAAACTTTAATTTAGCTTTATCTTGCCTAGGATCAAACCAGGTTGTAAAACCACAAAAAAGTTTTACAAACACCTCATGCTACAATTTTCAGTTACTATGTGGCAGGCACTGGTTCGAGGCACTTGGAATATACTAATTTCAGTTTTCACAATAATCCTGTGGGCAAGGTACTATATAGATCATCTCAGTTTTACAGATGAGGCAAGGTGCAATCAGGAATGTACCCACAGCTGAACAGTTATTAAGTCAAAGGGTGGAGGAGCAGGGATCTGAACCTTGGCAGTCTGGCTCTAGAAGGCATGTTCATTACTACCATCTACCATTTGAGATTTTCTTCTTTTTTTGTTTGTGGTTTGTTTTTTTTTTTTTTTTTTTGAGACTTTTCTTTAAAAGAACTTTTAAATCAACAACTCAGTACCCTTTCTCTTTAAGTATAATTTAATATGATATAACTTATCACTGTGCTGACAGCTCATTTTTATTCTTCATTTCTAAAAAGAGAAAAAACCAGGACCATATTTCACTGGATCCATGGCTCTCCGTGTGCTCCCTGCTCTGGCAAAAATCTCCTTTGCTAACATCCGAAGTGGTTGCTCCAGAGATGACTCTGATTTTAAGGAATATTATTCAAATAAAGAATAAAAGCAGCAGAACTCCTAAGAAACAGACTCTTGTTTTCCTATAAACGTCCCTGTAAAAAAAGGTTGCAAAAATAAAAACTATTTCCAAGGTGGCACCTTAGAAGACATCTGTATGTCTCGCAGCATCTCTGAGTAAGAAAAGACCTGACCTCAAAATAAATTCACAGGATTAAAAGAACTTGAACCTGTCCCAGTATTTGTTTCCTTCTCTGTCAGGATATTTTTAGATGACTATCTGATAAGCATTTCCAACTCCATAAGAAGCTTATTTACAGCCTTGCCAATCAACTTGGAATTGGCTGTCAAACAACAGTTTCACATTCAAGTTCTTCCTTATAAACGTTAAACGGTAGTTACTAGCAATTCATTTTGCAAATGCTGGACATCTCACATAAGCACATAAATAAGTGGAATAAGCTACTGGACAAAGTGAAAAACCCACTAATCTAATTCACGGGTTTGGCTGTGAGTTATGGCAAGACAAGTTAACATTAAACAAGATATTCAGCGGAACTTAAAATATTTTTTTAATTTTCATGTTAAGCCACTCATACAGAAACCACATTTTCTCATTTCTAAGTTTCATCTCTTAGTCATTCAAATACTTCCACTGGATATGCGCAATTGTCAATTAAAGCACTGCTCGTTTCAAAGGGCTTGGAGATTCATGGGAACCGAACAATGCAGTGGGCAGAGATGATCTACTAGGTTTCTTCCTCCTGCTCAGTAGCGGAAGGTAACATGCTAAGATTAAAGTAAAAACTGGCAGCCTAGAAAAAGATCAAGAAAAAAGAAAAGGCAACATAGATGTGTAAGAAAAATGGGATAATGCCTGCCTGGTTGATTTTCAAATTGGTGTAGAAACATGTCAAGCTATCGGCATGAGATACTTCATTATAAAATACACAGACTGAATCTTTTTTCTTTCTCTTTTAACACTTTTAGCTATTTGTTGTATACATGAAAGAATGTAAAGTAAGAAAAAGTAAAATATTCAATATGGTTCCCATTTTAAAAAAAGAAGTCCATTTATAATTTTGAAGTAAATTCAAATAAAGTATTGAGATTAAGATGTTTTCCTTAATTAGAAAATGGTATTTTTTGGGTGCCTGGGTGGCTCTGTCGGTTAAGCATCTGTCTTCGGCTTGAGCCCAAGGTCCTGGGGATTGAACACTGCATCTGGCTCCCTACTCGGGGGGAGCCTGCTTCTCCCTCTCCCTGCCCACTTCCCTTGCTTGTGCTGTCAAATGAATAAATAAAATCTTTAAAAAAAAAAGAAAAGAAAGAAAACAGTATTT